ACAGAATGGCTCTCCTCCGCAGCCGGACCCACCAGTGGCGCTTGGGCAGCGCCACCTGGCGGCCGGCTGAGGAAGCTCAAGCGACCAACACTACATTGATGAAAAGTTGCGGGGCAGTTACAATTCAGCACAATGTAATATGGTTCAGTTCAAATGCACAAAAAAAAACTTGCGTTATTTCTGAGTCAATTGAATGCATTTCGACGCGTCCTAACAACAATGTTCTATCTGCAGCGTGCGTATTACACAATGTTCTATCTGCAGAGTGCTGAATACACAATGTTCTATCTGCAGCGTGCGGATTACACAATGTTCTACCTGCAGAGTGCGGATTACACAATGTTCTATCTGCAGAGTGCTGAATACACAATGTTCTATCTGCAAAACGGGGTTGGGCGCAGCCCTTAACCTTTGTGTGGTTTGCAAGTAACTGGAGGACATTAAGGACAATCTGCGCACACGGAAAGAATCGTTAAGGTCAAATGTGTAGTTATTGACTTCAAAAAGTGAAGTAAAACGAGGGGTTACAGAGTAATAAGCATTTCTTTGAAGGTGTCCCGGAACCCGCGTGTGTTGTTAGGACGCGTCGATTTATAATTTGAACAGCCTGCAATGTAACAAAAACTAATACAAATTTTTTCTTTGCAGGGGGCGTAACTGACTTTATAGCTCTGAACGTATATAGTGGTTGCGATGCTAGCTACAATCCCAATAAAACAGACAACTCAAAGCAATCACTACTTCTTGGTCCTGTGCTTCAAGATATGCCCTTCGTTGATGTCAGTGATTTTGGTGGTTTTGGTCTGGTACGTGTCTAGTATTCCTTGTATCAGGAGATTAACTTAAATAAGTACAGTTCTTTTTTATTTGCGTTACCATACGTTATAAACTCTGTCTGACTTTCTGACAGTATCTGCTGCGTAGTTCTTTGCTTTCTAATAAGAAATATTTTAGTGCTTGTCGCTCAACTTTTTCCGACCAAGATTACAGCGTATTTATGACAGATTTTGTCACAACGCATACATATAATGATACCTACAACGCAAAGACACGTACTTCTACGACCCGAAGAAAGACTGACGTAGTTCCAAGCACCGATTTTAAGCACACGTAGTTCTGAGGCCTTCGGCAAGACTCACGTAGTTCCTATCTCTTTAACCAAGAAGTACGTGATTCTTGCTGAAGGCCTTAGAACTACGTGTGTTTGCAATCGGTGTTCGGAACTACGTCAGTCTTCTCTCGGGTCGTAAAAGTACGTGTCTTTGCGTTGTAGGTATCGATAAGCGCCCCCCCCCCC